GCTGTGGGGGGTTCTTCTTGGCGGGGGCTGGGCTCAGAGCAGGCACCGGCGGTGCTGGAAGGGGCTGCAGCCGCCCTACATTTCGCCACAGCTCCGCTCCCAGCACCACCGCTGCCACCAGCCACTTGGCACAGCCTTGGCTCTTCCCAGTGTGTGGGTGGAGGCGAGACATAGAGCTGGGCTGTGCCTCAGGGTGGCAGCACTGGGAGCAGAGCGGCGGTGAAATTGGGGGGGGGCAGCCCCTCCTAGCGCTGCCGGCACCCACTCCAAGCCCAGCCCCTGCCAAGAAGAGCCCAGCGCAGCGCTGGCTCCAGCCTGCCATGTGCCAATCCGAGGGCACACTGTCTTCACACCACTCTCCTGGGGTACAAGAAGCAGTGAGAGCTGTGCCTCCATCCCATGCCCCACCCCCCTCACCGTGGGGGGTGTCGATCTGCACCCCCCATACCCCTTCCTTTCCCTTTTGACTTACCAGCTGGAGGCAGCTCTCCACACTGCCCGCTCTGCTCCATGCTACACTGCAGCTGTGCGCAGCATGAATATTTATCGGCCCAGTATCCAGTACAGCAAATTTTCTTTATATCAGTACCGATCTGATATCAGACCAATGTATCAGTGCACCTCAACTCTTTACAAATACCTGTAATCTCCTGGTATATTCCAGTGGAATCCTTTGTGGGTTACAGCTTTATTGCAACTTTAGTGACACTTAGCTATGCTCTCCATGTATTTCTTGCAAAACAAAAATGGAATGTCTCCAGCCTCCAGTGGAGAAGTATATATTAAGTGCTTGTGTAGATCACATCACTTAGGTGTCTGAATATAAATTCAGATGCTTAACTTTAGGTGTTTATTTTGAAAATGTCAGTTTTAGCTGTAGCTATAAGAAGCAGATTAATATTAGACAATGTGTTTAGATAAAATAGAGATGCATGTTCTCCTTCTGTGCTCTTTGTTTATACATCATAGTGAATTGCCATGCTCCAAATGATCCTTACTAATTTTTTAAAAAGGTAAACCTTCATTTGAAGAGAGCTTTTAATGTTATAATCTTACTTACCTGCTTAATTGCACCAGTCGGCAGAAGCTTGGTCAGTTTCAATGTCCTTTGTTTTTAAAATCAGATTGTGATGTGCCTGCATCAGTAAGATACAGTTAAGTCTTAGGCTATTTAAATAAAGCCAGTAGTTTGATATGGTATGGGCCACATTGGCATATACTTTAATATTGTAAAAATAAGTGAGAGAAACGTGTAAAACAAACTAGAGTTCATAAAATACCAACCATTCTTCACAGCAGACTTCCTCTGCAAGCAGTTCTAGAATATCTAAAATATTAACTGAATCCAACTAACATTTTTAAATGTATCTGAGGAAAATCCATGTACCATGAATTCAGCAACACATCCTCTTAAATGTAAATACTGTAAGAATCAATGCATTTTAATACTTTTTTTTTCATTAAAAGGTCATTGAATGACAAACAGATCAGCAATGGGAATACACCACTGAATACTTTGAGCAACAGCACACCTACAACGGTAGCCAACACACCAAGACAGAACAGTAATACGCCCAGCAGGAAACCAGGACCACTGCCTTCAAGCCTGGATGACTTGAAGGTAAAAATAGAGGGATTTCTCCCTTTATTAATATTAGAAAAGCTTATAATTTACAAACTGTTACTCATAAACATAAAGTAAAATATTTTTTCTTATGGAAACTCTACCTTCATACTGAGTTTTATTTAAAAATGTTTCTGTGGTTCATTTATTATCATCCAACAATTTTGTTTCACTTTAGCTTATGTACCAAGTGTTCATAAACACTTTTTTCTTGTTCAGAATATTTTATAATTTTCATCTGATTCTTATGGCATTCCTCCATTTCAGATAAGAAAGGAATTTACAGTAGATAATCCATGTACTTTATTTGCTTGGTATTTACATGCTTCTCTGGGTGAGCAGAGAAGAATAACCATCTAGATGAGGTGTGTCAAAGAAAGCCCACAGGCTGCATCTGGCCCTTGGAGCCCTATCATCTAGCCGCCAATGCTGCCTGTAGAGCTCAGAGTTGACCCATAGGCAGCATGAGAGGCACACCAGCTGGCCTTGGACACTGTACACAGTGCCTGCTCCAGCTATTTAAGGACCACACTGTACACAGCATCCATTCCAGCGTGTGCCGGCTCAATGCTGGATCCAGCAGTGTGTTCCAGAGCAGCCATCACGTGCGGTGTGGCTCCAGAGTGGCTGGAGCAGGACTGCACTGCATGCAGCATCCACTTCAGTCACTCCAGGACATGCACTGGATCCAGTATGTGGGGTGATCTGTGGGTCTGATCCGGCCTGCAGACCAACCCAGTACCACTGAGTTTAAGAGCCCTAATCTAGCTAAAGCAGACTATATGCTAAGATTTTACTCGAACAGATTTTTACACTGACATAATGACTCCCTCATAAACTTTTGTGCAGAAGTTTAATTCAAACAGGTCCTCTGAGACATTTGGAGAAATCACTGGTGGAATTTCTACACCGATATAACACCAGTAAAGCAGTCAGTCTCAAACCAGATTTTTTTCCCTTCATGTACACAAATTGGATTGACTGGTGTCTTACCAATGTGAAACTGCCCAAAATGTATGCACAAGGATTTTTTCATTCCAAGGACACACTTCTCTACATTTGGTCCTACTTACATATATTTAAAGTTTTTATACAGAAACTATGGCATTTACTAGATATATTTCTGTATCACTTATAAATAGAAGAATTCATGTTTCCTATTCACATCTATACTGTACAACTAATTGAATTATTTGTTGCTAGTTACACAGCATACGCTTTTTTTGGGTTATTTGTTTCCTGGAAACTAATTGTTTATGAAGCCCCCAGATGTCTGTTCAGAGTGTTATATGGCCAATCCCATACAGCAAATAACCTTTTTTGTTTCCTGATTGGAAAGAAACTAAACAAGGGAATAATCAACACATTTCTTACCTGAAAATTCATTTTGATTCGTGCATGGAACTTTCAGAATTAATGAATAATTCATGAAACATCAGGCAGTCATGTGAACATGAAACTATGAACTGGAATGTCTATTTTTAAAAATATTTGCATTCCACTTTTCTACTAGTCATATATAACAACACTATATATGATATTTCTTCAAAATAACTTAGAAAGCTAAAGCTGACACTGGGGCCCCTTCTACATATTACAGGTATCATGCAATTAACTGGTTAATTGTGCAGTTACCTTAAGACCAGATTGACTTTTATTAGTAGATGTTTTGCATTGGGAATCCAGAAAAAAAAAAAAGA